AAGCTGCCGCTTGGCATTTCCTGTGGGGGTGTCAGCGGGCTGCAGGGTGCAGCTGGTGCACGCAGCTGCAGGCCTCCAAGCAGGAGTGAAAGTATAGAGAGGGAAGAGAACAAGCAGGAGAGAGTGAGTTGGGCTGGATCCCAGCTCTGGGGCGGGCTGGAGTCAGGCCCAAGGTGGACTGGTCCTGGGTCCGGGTCAGGCTGGAGTGTAATCCAGGGTGGACTGGTCCTGGGTCTGGGTCACACTGGAGTCAGGCCCAGGGTGGACTGGTCCTGGGTCCGGGTCAGACTGGAGTCAGGCCCAGGATGGTCTGGTCCTGGGTCCGGGCCAGACTGGAGTCAAACCCAGGGTGGTCTGGTCCTGGGTCCAGGTCAGGCTAGAGTGAAATCTAGGGTGGTCTGATCCTGCGTCCGGGTCAGACTGGAGTGTAATCAGGGTGGTCTGGTCCTGGGTCCGGATCAGACTGGAGTGTAATCAGGGTAGTCTGGTCCTGCGTCCGGGTCAGACTGGAGTGTAATCCAGGGTGGTCTGGTCCTGGGTCCAGGTCAGGCTGGAGTGTAATCAGGGTGGTCTGGTCCTGGGTCCGGGTCAGACTGGAGTCAAATCCAAGGTGGTCTGATCCTGGGTCCAGGTCAGGCTGGAGTGTAATCCAGGGTGGTCTGGTCCTGGGTCTGGGTCACATTGGAGTCAGACCCAGCTAGAGGTGTTGCCCATGTTCTAGAAAGTTCCAGTGCTCTGGTGAAGCGATAGCTGGCATTGTAGGTGCCAGGCATGTGCTAAACCCATGGCCTGGGGGGCTGGCTGCCAAATGGTGTAGAGATTATCTCCAGATGGCCATCTTCCACTGCTGGAGGTCATCGCCTCAGGCCTGTGAGCTTCCTACACCTTAACAACCAATTTGAAGTCGTCGCCTCACTCCACATTTTAAGGGCATTTTTCTACCACACCAGGTACAGAAAGTTTGGTACTTAAAGGTGTTGCTATTATAGGACTGGACGGTGTGTGATATTAATTCCAACATCGCATGTTATGCACATCCAGTTCTTACATCGCTAGTCAGATAGATTAAGATCAGGCTTTTTCTTACTTTCAGTTCTGTACAGATATTATAGCGCAGGGGGTTAAAATTTTGCTAAAGCATTTTTACTCTCTTACTCTGTCATAGGGAAAAAAACTTAGCAAACTTTGCATTTTAATTATTATTCCTTTTACAGATTGTTATATGTTTAAAAATCAGTTTAAAGTTGACCTCCGCTGCATTTTCATGAGCGCTGCATACGTTATCCCAGACAATTGTAATCATTTTCAACTCATCATTTAAATCACTTTTTTTGTCTTATAAATAACCCGATATTTATTGCAACAGTATCACATCGCTATATTTATAACAAAATCACATTGCTAGGCCATCGCTATATTCCACTAAATAAGTTTTAATTTCTTGTAATGCCATCCGGATCTTTTTGTTGTATTTCTTCTTATGACCAAATAGCATTTTTTTTTTTGTTTATTTTTTGAGTTCGCAAATATTTTCAAGGCGGCGTTTGTACTGTGTTTCAGCGACAGGCTATTTGCATAACCAATCGACAAAGAAAACGTTTCAAGTCCCACCCTAATGTACCAAAGAAGTATCCCAGCTGGTTTGGCACTTTCGGTACTGGAACTTTCAGTACTGCTACTCCACCTGAAGTCAATGGAAAAGCGAAAGTACTGAAAGTACCGTACCAAAAGTACCGTACTTGGTGCGGTGGAAAAGCGCCCTTTGTGTGTGGTTGTTGTGGAGTTGGTCTCAGCTGAGCTCATCGTAATAATTATATAGGTTTAGCTGAATCACTTCCTTCAGCAGCCTGCGGGGGGGGACAGTCAATCTGGAATCAGGTGCCTTTCTGCCACAGGATCTCAGAGAGCCCAGCTGTACCGGGGCACCTATCAGCCAGTCAGCACAGAGTCCCTGTCTGCAGGGTTGTGTGTGTGGCTAGTCACTAGGGACGGAGGTCAAAGGTCAGATTAATTCAGAGGCTGCGATGCTCCTCAGTAAGCCTGTCTGCCCCCCCAGCAACTTCAGCCTATGGAATGCTCATGAGCTCCATGTAGAAGAGGCACACTGGGGTCACACTGAAGGTCACAGCCCTGGCGGTGACCCCCCCCCCAGGCCAGATGAGATGGGTACTTAAGCTGGCTGTTTACTTCAGAAGAAATCGAAAGAATCGACAGTGTATGAGCCGTGCTCAATCTGCAATGTTCCCACCAACTAGCCACGATTGGCTGACATAAATGTGACACCACCGGGTTGGTCAGCAGAAATAATTATGCAGTTACCAGCATGCTTTGCACCACACTGCACCTTATATAGTGTAAATTAACATGTGCATTTGTGTATTTCTGTAGTAACCGTGTAATGTTTACCGTGGACTGTATGTGCTTCGTTAGCATGTAATCATGAGTGTCGCGTAAATTGCTACCTTCCCTGTCTGTGCCACTTCAATAGTAGCTATTTGTTCAATAACAGAGCTACTTCCATTTTAAAAGAGCTGTCATCTCCTTCATTATAATGACTCATGCGCTCGCCAAAATATGTTTATTTGCACACCATGGGTGGCCCTGCAGTATCAAACACATCCCATGCCCTCTTGTTGTGGCGTGACACAGACCAAGGCAACATCACGGTGCAAGTTTGTGACAGATTGTTGTCGCCGACGTGTTCAATTGCGTTTTGCCCCGATGCTGTTTGAAGTTTAGGGCCACGTTAGGCATTTATTCGCTTGCTAAACACTGAGGTGGCGCTGGTGGCCTTGCTGATACTCTGTGGCCGTCACCCTCGCCATGACCAGCTGGGCCCTGAGGGCACGTCTCAGTCACATGACCCAGTTAGTGTATAGATGATGACACACCAAGAAAAGTTTGGCTCTTCAGTGGATTTTAAAATATTCTCTGCATGTGTCATGGCTGTCTTGCATCATAATGTCTTCCGCTGACTGACGAGTCGGAAGATGGAAACATAGGAAGGTGTGATCTTCATTTTCCCCTCATCAACCACATCCTCACTCTGTTTTGTTCCTTCAGCTACAAAGGCCACGTGCTTCTTTGCTGTTGGTTTGTGAGACTGTGTGCCTGGGTGTCTGTGTGTCTCTGTGTGTGCTTGTGTTTCTCTGTGTATCTCTCTGCATGCATGCATGTCTGTGTGTGTGCCTGCATGTCTCTGTGTGTGCCTGTGTGTCTCTGTGTACTCATGTCTCTGTGCATGCCTGTGTGTCTCTGTGTACTCATGTCTCTATTCATGCCTGTGTGTCTCTGTGTACTCATGTCTCTGTGCATGCCTGTGTGTCTCTGCCTGACTGTCTGTTTGTTCTGGAGGGCTCTGCTTGGCCATGAGGCTAAGGAATTGGCTCCCAGGTGTCTCCATTTAATGGCACATAGGTGAATGGGAGTGCATGAGGCTCGTCACTTGCTGTTCCTGCTGCAGGAAGTGAGGGAGCAGGAGACAGGAAGTGAGGGAGCAGGAGACAGGAAGTGAGGGAGCAGGAGACAGGAAGGGGTGGGAGCAGGCACTGATCTGCAGATAAGCCTTCAGATGGGAGGCCATTTGCTTCACTGTGTGTTTGTGTGACACAGAGACGGACCTGGTATGTCTCATGAGGACAGTGTTACTCCTATTTGCCAGGGTAAACATGCACATCTCTGCTAATCTACATTCTAGCTATTGTATTATTATTTTACCCTGCACTATGACTCATTTGGATTGGCTGTGTGGCTGGGCCGGGAGGCTTATCGGGCAGACGTCATGGCTGGAGCTCCAGTCTGATTGGTCAGGTTGCTCTCCCTGCCCTCTGAGGCTACAGGCTCCTGACCTGTGGTCGAATCTGATCTCACACATTGATCTTTAGTTGTTTCCCCTACAGTTCCTCTCATGCTCCCCTACAGACCCGTTAACCCGCAGAAGGGAAAGCGATCGGATGTCTGTGAGCAGGAGACCCCTCTGCCCTCACTGTCTCCAGCAAGTCTGCATCAACATCTGGATCTCACATCTGCCTGGGGGGTCATACAGAATCAGGGTTGGGGGGATAGGAGTACAATGTACTTGCATTGCCTGACAGCCCAAGACAATAAAACTCTCATGGATATATTTTTCACCTGCTTTGGCTTTTTAGGAATGGTCTAATAGATTACTGGAATGGAATTCCCAAGCATTCCCATTCCGGAATGTGATGCTGGCTTCCATGCGGAGTGCCAGAATGTGTCAGAAAGCAGAATCTGCTGCTTGCAGCATGATGTGAACTGGCTCTCAAGTGTCACCCATCCTGTCATTTGGTGACAGAAAACCAGACCGAGAAGCTGGCAAAAATGGGCCGACACCCTCTGCCTGTCTGGGTGTGTGTCCAGCATCAGAGAGAAATCTCAGCAAGCAGGAAGCAGCTTTCCTTTGGCAGCATGCAGCACAGCCATCAATGAGAGTGCCCCCCCCCCCCCAGGCACCACATAGCTGGGGGGGGTGACCTTATCATCCCATGATGGCTTGGATAATGTGTCCTGCCCGTTTGTGAAAATAACCCAGTTCGAAGGGCTCAGAATGAGATAAGAAGCAGGGTGAGAAGTGGCAGACAGGCTGTACTTTTCTGATTCGTGCAGTTTGTTCTCTGAGAGCTGGGGTGGAGAGGGAGAGCATGTGTTTCTCGCGCATGTCGCACCTCGGGGCCGAACATGGCCGTGTGGAATCATAGCATCCCTTAGTGCTATTCGATAGTCACCCCCAGCTCTCTCAGGCAAGCGCATGGACCTGCACCCCGCCCAGGAATTAGCAAACACTCACCGCTAACAGTCATGATTCTGCTCTCAGCACCAAGCTCAGGCATTAGCAAACGCTGACCATTGACAGTTACCGTTCTCTGTTTCATGTTCCCTTGCCCTCCTAGTTTTGTTTCTTGCTTGGGGTTTGGGGTTTGGGGCATGTGGGAGTGGATTCTGATTAGAAGTTGTCCATTCAGTGGTGTCTGGCTCCTCAGGTTCAGCATCCCTCCTGAAGACCTCCGACACGCAAGCCCTGACATGCAGCAGTGGCAAGGGCGAGAGGACAATCGGGCTGAGGGCCACATAGTTGATGAGGAAATCCATAGGGGATGGTGAATGTGGATCTTCAGTAGCTGTGCCAGCCCAGCGCCCCCCTCCCACAACGTAAGTAACACAATGAGGTTGTAAATGTGTCTCCATGGTGAGGCCACACCTTCACCCACACAGCGCCTCCTTTTGGTAGGAACTTCCCAGCTGCACACACATCCTGCTTAGTGGGGAGCTGACTTTGGTTCCACACTCTGATGAAGGTGCTGCTGTTGGAGCATCGTGGACGCGGCACATTCAGCTGAGGCTTCCTTTAACATATGGACGAGGGCGGGATGTTCCCACAGCGCCCTCACTCCAGGAGGGCCTCCCACCACAGCGGAGACCAATCAAAGGCCACATTTCCTGCTGAGCACCGAGGCAGTTCCGCTGATAGGACGTCATATCGCTGAGTCGCCGCCTGTCCGGGTCATGGCACCTTCCCCTCCTGCACACCTTACTCAATGAGGAGGCGGCCCCCAGTGACCCCGCCCCCACCCCTGTGACAATCAGCTGACAGGCTAGCACTAATAACCGAATGTAGATCTACTTGTTTGTGGGGGGAGGCCTAGCGTGCACCGGGCCCACCCCCCCAGTCTGCTCATTGGACAGCCTTGTAGGAGAATTCCCTAACAGCTCTGATCCCTCTTTAGCCAGTGGCTTAAGAATAAAACAGCTCTAGTGAAAGTCAGAAAAAAGAAACATGGGTGATGCTGCATACCACAGAGCAGCCTGCCCCCCCCCCCCCCCCATGAAAAATGCTGATCCCAAACAGGGCCGTTCCCATGGAGAGGGGGGCTGTTTCATCACCGTCTTCCAGCTTTATCTCTCTGTAGCCTGGAACTTTGCTTCTTCTTAGAGAGTAACTGTATCCTTATCTGCCCCCCCTTGCTGCGCCGCTCCCCCCAGGCAGGGCAGCCCAGCACCCATGGCCCATGAGTGTGAGAGCGACCTCAGGGACCTGGCTTCATTATCTCATCCGGCTGTGCAGGACCACCTAATCGGGTCGATTAGCAGACGGCACCGGCACCTCACACACCCGTGTCTCTCAGCAGACAGTGACCCAGATCAGTGGGCCGGGGGGAGGGGCTCCACCGCGCACCTTCCTCTGGGAGCGCTTGTATGCTTCAGTGGACAGGCAGTGAGGAGATAAGGCTGGGGGGGTCCCTTATGTCTGCGGTGGGGGGATTTCTCCCCCATATCTGTTAATCAGCAGAAGATATGGGGGGGGGGGCTCTTTGGGGGCCTGTTCACATTTCCCAGGGACCCCTGACCCAAAAAGGCTTTCTCTGTCTCACTGGTGCGCTTAACCACACACACAGGTGCAGACATACCCACTGGGGTGGGCAAGGCACCCCCCAAACTGGCCAACTGAAAGCATCACGCCCCCCCCACCGTCTGTTGTCCTCCCTTATTACCTGGTCTCTCTCTGTCTGCTTTTCAGCCCTGTCCCTGGCCTCCATAGCCCTCAAGGTGAAACTCAGCACCACAATTCCTTGTATGTGTGAACGTACTTGGCAATAAACCCGATTCTGATTCTGATTCTGGACCATTGGCATGCTCCAGGAATACATGCTCTGTGGCTGTAGAGAGAGACCCCAGAGCTCTGAACTGCCCCCGTTAAGACCCTGCATGCTGCCCTTAGAAACAGGAACTGCCCCCGTTAAGACCCTGCATGCTGCCCTTAGAAACAGGAACTGTCCCCATTAAGGCCCTGAACGGTGCCATTAGAAACAGTAACTCTCCCCATTAAGGCCCTGAACGCTGCCTTTAGAAACAGGAACTCTCCCTGTTAAGGC